CATGCAGTAGCGGAGAAAAGTATGTCATACTCTGCAGTAGTGACTCCCATCACTTTAATAATGGTGTCTTCTATTCCGTTGGGCATTAAAACACAATAGTTGGACAGAAGACGTAGAGAAGAAAGAAAGAAAATAAAGAGATACTTGCACCTCCAGTTGTTGTACCACCTCGACATCGTGCTAATATCCGGCTTTTATCTATGTGGGCGTGATAACGATCCAAGGACTGTCAGCTCATGATTGACAACTTCATAGATCTAGTCAAGTTACTGCACATTTATATTGAGTCTTGAGAGAAATATATTGATACTGATGTACGTATAGGGCTGTGCTCATGTGTATTATGGCTCGGAGCTGGGTCAGTGCCGCTCAGTAGCAGCAGGCAATAGAACTAGTAAGATTAAATGTATTATATTTGCATACCTGCAAGTGTAGCCCGCTTAACGTTTACCATGCTTTGTGTTTTCCTTACCTAAGTCTAGTCAGGCCCCCCTTACTTAATTTTAGTCATGCAGAGCCTGACTAACCTAATTATTCCTCAGTGGGCTCTGACCGCATAGCTGAGCAGTATACCGTATAGGGGTATATTTCACGGAGATTTAATTTTGCTAATTTCAGGGTTTTAAAAAATTCATGAAATTTTTATCTTTGAAAATTATTTTTACCATACCAAAAATAGTCAGTAGAAGAAAAATGCAAAAATTTTTCCTTGTAAATAGGTTGAAAGGTGATTTTCGTGAATTATTTTCCCCCGAAAATATACCCCTGTATATATGATATATAGCACCAAATTTTTTTAGTCAACAATTTCGTCAAAATCTTAATTTTTTGTTCAAAATTAGTTTATTATTTTATTACATTTTTGTCAGTTCTGTTATATTCACATGCTACTCATGTGAAGCAAAAATTTGTAAAAGTCCAATTGATATTAGAATCAGGTCACATGCATATGAATTAGACAGAATTATTAAAAATGAAGAATTCTTTTCTAATCATTTATGATGAAACTTTGCCAAAAACCCTATACAAAATACAGGGACTTTGGTCTGAGTTTAAGTAACTGTGTAAAAAATTGTAGAATCCGTTTTGATGGAATCAGCTCAAACTTGCTACACAATATAAAATGTATTTGTATCAAAAATGATTAAAAAAAGAAGAATTATCTCATAATTAGTCATATTTGGCAAAATTTAGTCAGAAACCATCACATTTTTAGTGTTTAAAATTTCACAATTTAATGATATGTGCTCAAAAATTTATATTTGTATGAGCTAGTTTTTGTAGTCATAGTCAATACAAAAGAGTAACATTGATGGAGGTAGTTTAAACTTTGTGGATTTAAAGTGAGCACAAAAACAATGAAAATTAACATACCACAAAAATTACTGGTTTGAGGTCTTTGGCTTGGTTTTAGAGTAACTTTAAAAATTTGATTTTTATTGGAACAAGTTCAGTGCAAGCTAGAACTTGTGCTGTACAGTATATCAAATTTCTGTGAATTTTGGCATGCCCTCAAAAGGACATGCCAAAACAATACTCTGCTGTTTTTATGCCTTCAAAGGGTCAAAGTGTAATGTACAGTATTATTGGTTCTTGCTATTCTACAGGAGTCTTCAAGTTATAGTAACATGATGAGATGAATCCAGATTCAAGAGTTAAAACAAAGATGGTGAGTACCAATGCATTAACAATTCAGTGCTGAAATTATCACTATATTGGTTGGCAATTTGCCTCTGCACTAATATTGGCTCAAATTTGTTCAA